GCACCTCCTGGTCAGCGACAAGTACCGCTTCTTGTACTGCTACGTGCCCAAGGTGGCCTGCTCCAACTGGAAACGCATCCTGAAGGTGCTGGACGGGGCGCTGGAGAGCGTCGACGTCAAGCTGAAGATGGACCACAAGAGCGACCTGGTGTTCCTGGGGGACATGAAGCCGGACGAGATCAGCTATCGCCTGAAGAACTACTACAAGTTCATCTTCGTGCGAAACCCCATGGAGAGGCTGGTGTCGGCCTACAGGAATAAATTTGGGGAGATCAAGGAGTACCAGCAGAAGTACGGGGTGGAGATTGTCAGGCGCTATCGGAAGAACGGGGGGAATTCGGCGGGCGACGACGTGACCTTCTCCGAGTTTCTCCGGTACCTGCTGGACGAGGAGGCGGAGAGGATGAACGAGCACTGGATGCCCATCTACAACCTGTGCCAGCCCTGCGCTGTGAGGTACGACTTCATCGGCTCCCTCTAACGGCTGAACGCAGACGCCAACTACGTCCTCGAGCGAGTCCAGTCGCCCTCCTTCATCCGCTTCCCCGAACGGCAGTCGTGGTACAAGCCCGTGACGGCAGAAACGCTCCATTACTACCTGTGCAACACCCAACGCCGGCTGATAAAAGAGCTGTTACCAAAATACATCCTGGATTTCTCCCTCTTTGCCTACCCCCTTCCCAACATCACCAGCGAATTCTGCAGGCAATGAGTTGTTCAATTCGGGAGCTGGTGTCAATTCTGCCTTCGCTGCAGGGATTTGCTAATGCAGCCATTGCTGCGAATAACACCTTCCTGCAGGGCCTGTCAAACACGCTCTTCTATGCATCATTTCCTAATTTTATACTTTTCAAACACTGTTTATATAAAATATTATATATTGCCTTTGCTACTAGAATACTTTTTGTATTGTTCTGATTTTAACATGTACATATGCCGCTGACTTGAGCACAGTAGCTTTTGTATATCTATTTTGCTTTAGATTCTTTTTTATGGCACGACATGGAAAAAGTGTGTTAGGAAATGGAGAAATGGATATATTTTAAACATTTTTTCTTCCTTGTGTTTTGTACTAACTAGTATGAGGCTGAATTGCAATCATAATATAGTAGTTGATGCTTTTAATAACAATATAGCAGTTGATGCGCTAAAAATTAGCGCTGTTACGACTGGTCCTGGATTAGACAGGAGGTAGTTTTTTTGGGTATGAGTAGAGGAAGAGGCTTTTATAAACTGGGTCCTATTCATCCTTTATTTTCTCATCTGTAGATCGTGGTTAAATGAGGCTGGTCTTTTCTTCTGTGACGGTACCTCTGGGTTTTATTATTATTATTA